AGACATCCTGATGCATGACAAAATTGTTCAACGTTCCGGTGGAGTCTCTCAAGGTGAAGGTCTTGTGGTCAAGTTCGGAGAGAGAGGTAAACGAGCAAGCGTGAGGGCAAGAAGAGCAATAAGGGAAGGTCAAAATCCAAGGCGAAAGATAGTTGTTTCGAGTGTGGGTCAAAGGATCATTGGAAGAAGAATTGCCCTACATGGCGAGCGAAGAGAAACAAAGGGAAGAAGCCGGATGAAGCCGGGGTCACAGAAGAGAGCGACGGTGAGCTTTTACTTACTAATAGCATTGTTAATACTGATGCACTTGCTATTACTTCCATGATTTATGCTTCTGATTGGATTTTGGATTCCGAGTGCTCGTATCACATGTGTTCAAACAAGTGTCTGCCGCGCAAATCTCACGGCCTGGAGTTCCGGGCCGAGGGGAGGTGCGTTGACACGCGGTTTCCTGCTTTTGGGTGCGGTGCGGTTGCGCGCAACTTTGCTTGGCTGCACCTTGGCTTTCCCTTAGCTCCAAGCTCTCCAAAATCTGCTCTCTTCTGTAGAATGATCGAATGGAATTGCTTTTCCACGTTCAAAAGTCTCCAAAATCAGATTGCACTTCCTTTTGCTTCCCTCTCTCCTCCTTTCCAGCTTTTACTTTTAGTATTCTAATGCAAAGTCTTCACCCATTATCTTCTTGTCCCTTTGCAAATGATGAAGCCTTGTCCTCACAAAGATGCCAAATACTTCAGAAAATATCTCTTTTACAAAGGTAATTCCTTGTTACCAAGAGTTATGGTAACAAGAAATTAAGATGACACAAAGGAGGTAAAAGCTGGCCAAATTCGGATTTCCAAAGCTGTGGTAACATGCTGGATTGGTTGGATAGGCAATACTTGTCCAATGGAGCTCAAATTTGGATATGTTGTAGTTAACATCCATTGGAACAAGTCTCATGAAGATCATGACCTCATTCGAGCACCGGAGCATGTTGATCCCAGGCCAAGAAGTTGACCTACGAAAATGAACAAAAACAAAATTTATAACTAATAAAGCACTTTTAGCTCATTTTCATTCCAACCAAGGTAAAATCTAACAAAACACAAAAAGGAAGTAAAAAGTTGACCTACGAAAATGAACAACAACAGAATTTATAACCAATAATGCATTTTTAGCTCATTTTCATTCCATCCAAGGTAAAATCTAAGAAAACACAAAAAGGAAGTAAAAAGCTATAAAATGTCAAGAACTAACTCAAAATAGTGGGTGAATAACATGAAAAATCATGTGTAAATATGAACCGAACAATATATTGATGAATGGATTTTCCTTACAAACTAACACTACTCCTAGAAAAGCAAGTAAAAATATTGAAAGTGCATTACAGGAAAAAATAAGTTGCTCCGTGGGAGGCTTTTGTTTGGTGTTTGAACCCTTTGAAAGTGGTCCTGAGTCTTGTATTTATAAGCAGAGCTCCTGGAGGGGTAATCGAGGCTGAAAATCTGCATGGTGGAGCCTGATTAGCGCAAGTGGGTAGTCCAATCGACATTTGGGATCGTGAAGTATGGTGGTGTGACCCCATGAATCCCGGTGAATCTCGGCCGCCGCTCTGATCGTGGGTTCTGTGCTTCTGGCCGTGGAGACGCATTTATTGCTCTAGTGGCTGGTCACCTAATCTCTCAAGCTGCAAAGAGCTTTGTGAGAATGTTGGCGTCTAATCACTCTGATCCCTGCCACCCAATCCTGACTCCAATCACTTCCCATCTTTCCTCATGCATTAAATGCTTTATTCTTTGCCAGTGGGTTTGCTGCACTTAAACAGGCACTACCTCATTAAATGAAGCGTGGGACCCTGCCATCACGTGATGATCTGACTTTAATGTCTTTGGCCGTGACCTTGTTCGATCTCGGCCTCGGCCTGTAATCGAGGCCGAAATAACCATGCCTTAGCAATTTTTCTTGTTTCTCTGGAAGGCCGAACACCCCTGACAGAACGCTGCGTTTCAACTTCTCGAGAGGGTGCGAGGGCCGAGATAAAAGCCATACCTTCCTAGTAAAGAGATTAAGAATGAATGGTATGTTTCATTGATTTATTTACTGATACACGGGTCGTCGTCATTGGAACGCTGGCCAAGATATTGACCGTTTGTTTGGTTTCCGCTGTCATTATCGGGGAAGTCGACTCAGAAGTCTCAGAAGTCATCTCGATTCTCTTGTTCTTGAGCTTTGCCTGTGACCTAGTTTCCACCATAAAGTCTTTGACAAAAGAGGTATCCCACCGGGCGTGCCAAAAGTGTTGATCACCGCGAATCTCACGGCCTGGTGCCCTGGGGCGAGGGGGTCTGCGTCAACACGGGTCGTCCTTCTTTGGTGCGGTGCGTTTGTGCGCGGGCGTGCCAGCACGGTCTACCGTGCATTCGAGGATGGTGAAGGTGGATGGGTAGATGAATCGCGCGCTTGTTTGAGTTTAACTTCTAATCAGAGCGATTGTGGCCGAGAGAGGAACTGATCTTGGCCGTTGGGTTCACGGCCTGAACTACGAGGCCGTTAATGGTGGTTGCTAGTGGGGGATTTTTAGGTGGTGCTCCGGCGCGTCGCTGGGTTGCAATGACCGTATGATATGTGAGATTAACGGAAAGATAACAAGGATGGTGCTCCAGCGCCTTGAAAACCAAGGGTCGTATGATATATTAATGAATGGATTTTCCTACAAATTGTCACTACTCCTAAGAAAGCAAGTAAAGATATTGAAAGTGCATTACAGGAATATAAATGACAGAAGGTAAATGGTAGGAAAATATAATCTACTCCGTTGGAGGCTTGTGTTTGGTGTCTGAACCTTTTAAACGTAGTTGGAGCCTAGAATTTATAGGCGGAGTCCTGAGAGGGCAGTAAGGCTAAAAATCTCTATGACGAAATTGACCAGAGACAGTGGGCAGTCGAATCGGCATTTGGGAACGTGAAGTACGGTGGTGTGACCCCCATAAATCCCGGCCGCCACCCTGATTGTGGGTTCTGCATCTTGGGCCTCGAAGGAGCATTCAATGCTCTGATATGATGGTTGGTGACTTAATCTCTCAAGTCATAAGATTTTTGCACTCAACACCCTGATTTTACTCACCATTCCCTGACTTCAATCACTTCCCCCATTCCCTCACACATTAAATGCTCTTACGTGGATCGTGGGTTCTCTGCTGCAGTTAGGGGCATTACTTCATTAAATGAAGCATGGGGCCTCGATGCAACGTGGCGACGCCACTTGACCTTTCTACTTTGGCCTTGTTTTTTGAGAATTTATCAATTTCTTCGTTTATGCTCACCATGGCCGTGGCCGTGATGGCTTTGCCTTCACGGCTCATCCATGTCCTACGAGAGAAACGAACCACAATTTGACGGCCCCTTCTTCTTTTAGGTGGGCACCTTGGCCGAGAGGTCGCTCCTTCGGTCGACTTCACAGGCCGAGATTTCTAGGCACAAACAGTCCGATAGAAGGTGGCAGGGGAGGTAATGGGTCAGGGGCTGGGAAGGTAAGAACGAGTCTATTTGGGTTTCTAGTGTAGGTAAGAGTAGGGGATGGTTGGGGAGGTTGGGTTACGGGTTCAGTGGGGGTAGGATTGGAAGGAAAATGGGTTGGGTTCGTGGTTTGTGGAGGGGTATGAGTAGAATGGGGTGGGTTAGTGGGGGCTGGGTTTTGTGGCGGAAGTGGAGGGACAGTAGGGGTCTTGGTTGGTATGTGCGCAGGGGGGCAGAGCTGCTCCAAGGCAGAAGAGGCAGCGGAGGTTGATGTGAGTGGTGCAGTAGGCAAGGAGGTGGTGGCCGATGGTGGTGGCAGGGTGGCTCCTTGGAACGGAATGTGAGTAATAGGAGGAGCAAGAGTAAACCAAGAGGTGGAATTAGTAGGGAGGACAGAAGAAGCGGAATTATTGGCACTAGCAAGAGGGAAAGTGGACTTATCAAATTAGACATGAAGGGAGATAAAAAGTTTATTGGATGAGAGATCAAGACATTTGTAGGCACTTTGATGAGAGGAGTAACCAAGAAAAAGACACGGGCATGAACGAGGAAGTAACTTGTTGGAATTGTAAGGCCGTAGCCATGGAAAACACGGGCATCCAAACGTACGAAGATGTGAGTAATTGGGTTGTTGATGAAAGAGTTGGGTATATGATGAGACATTGTTAAGGATGGGAGTGGACATTTGATTTATGAGGTAGACATCAGTCTGAAAAGCATAGGACCAATAGGAAAGAGGTAAAGAGGCTTGATGAAGAAGGGTGAGACCGGTTTCAACAACATGACGATGCCGTCGTTCAGCAACACCATTGTGTTGTGGAGTATGTGATGGGGTGATGAGATGAGAGATGCCAGCGGAAGAGAGAAAGTTTTTAAGTTTAACAAATTCCCCTCCACCATTAGTAAATAAGGTGATGATTTTAGTTTTGAAATAATTTTCAACAAGGGCTTTAAAGGTGGTGAAGGTGGAAAACACATCCAATTTCTTTTTGAGAGGGTAGAGCCATATGTACTTGGTGAAATTATCAACAAAAATAAGATAGTAGGAAAAGCCATCAATGGAAGAATACGGGGCAGGGCCCCAAACATCACTATAAAGAAGCTCTAACGGACCATTACTTGTAAAGGAAGAAGTACCAAATGGGAGCCTATGGCTCTTATTACATTGACATGAATGACAAAGAGACTCAGACAATTTGGAGGACACATGAATGGAAGAGGAACGAAGAACTTGTTGAAGAGTTTTAGAATTTGGGTGACCAAGACGCCGGTGCCACAAATCTGGGGAGACCACCACACCCACCACGACCTGAGGTTGACGGAGGGATTGGGAGGACCACTCGTACACATCATCCTTATTCGGGCCTCGAAGAAGTACCGCCCCCGTGCTCAGATCCTTGACATGAAAGATATCAGGAAAAAGTTCAATAGACGTATTATTTTGTTTGTTAAATTTGGAAATATAAATAATATCTTGCTTGATGGAAGGAACACAAAGAACATTAGATAAGGTAAAGGTTTTGGAGGAGGGGGCAGTGAGAGGATGAACCGACATGAGTTATACCCAAACCTGAACCATTACCAATAATTATTTCATCTGGACCATCATATGTAGAGACACCGGAGAGATTGGTGACTTTGGAGGTAACGTGGTGAGAAGCACCGGAATCAAGCAACCATGTGGGAGAGGCATTGTGGCGGCCATGGTAGGTAGAATTGACCACCGGCTGACTTTGGGAGCTAGATTGAAGCTGGGGACAACGTTTGGCACTTTGACCCTGTGTACCACACCATTGACAATAGCCACGATAACCAGTGCCAGTGGTGTTGTTTGAACGACGACCGTTGTCAGTGGTGGAAGGCGAGGTGGATTCAGAGGAACCACGAGAATTGTTGCAGGAGCTAGAAGAGCCACGATTGTTATTGTAGTTGTTGGAGCGAGAACCATGGTTGGTGGGGGTGCGCTGGGAGCTTTGAGTGACATTAGCAATGATGACAGGTGTGGCAACAGTAGCGTCGGCACGTGTAAGGGCAGCTTCATGTTCAACCAACTTATCATGAAGATTTTCGAATGAGATAGAGGTGTCACAGGAACGAATGACAGCAGCAATCTCCTTAAATTCAGAACCAACTCCATTCAGAATGTAGAAGAGAAGATCATCATTAGAAAGAGGGACATCGATGATGGCAAGTTCATCGGAGATAACCATGAGATCATAGCCAATAAGGAGGGCATTAAATTGGGCACGCCAAGATGGGTAATTTGTGGGTGTGAGCTTGACTGGAAGTTGTGCTGCTTTAATGGTGATTAGGAGGTGTTGGAGTTGGTGTCGGTGATGGTTGGGGTGGTTATATCAGAGCATTCAGGAGCCATAGTATAGACGGCTGGGAAAAAAAATAAAAAAAGAGAGGATCAGAGGATGCTCATTGGAGCCTTAGGGCTGTGATACCATAAAGAGATTAAGAATGAATGGTATGCTTCATTGATTTATTTACTGATACACATGCTGGCTATTCTATACAAATTGATAATGTCTAAATAAGGTAAATACAACAGGATTGATGTAGAGAATCAATCCAGATTGTCTAAATGAGGTAAATACATTAGGATTGATGTAGAGAATCAATCTAGATCAGCTATAACAGGAAGGCAGAAATCAAGGTTGACTTTGGTGAAAGATTGCAGATTTTTGCATTGATGATGAGGTAATTTCCTTTGGTGAAGGTTCCCTTTTACCTAGCAAGTTGGTTAGCATTTTATGATATAACTTTTTGTAGATAAAGGATCATCATATTTCTTTTCTCCTAAATAAACAATGTGCACCTGAAAACACACCTTGTCAAATACCTGTCCAGTGCAGAAAGAACAAAGAAAATGGAGTTGGAGCTAAAACTTGAGATTATGTATATACACTCACTTCACTTGTGGCCTCAACAAATATTATTGAGGTATGGAGAGAGTGCTAAAGTAAACAAAGAGCAAGAACCACAAGAGAGTAGTTTTTTCTTGCACACGTCCAGTTTCTTCTTGTATTGGAATCCATAAAAAAAAAAAAAAAAAGGAAGAAAACTCCTAAGATTTTCTACAGGTATTGTGTAAATTTTAAAAAGCCAGTCATCTCAGCATCTGTAAATTATAATCTAATAGTCCTAATGGCCATGTGAAAAGTCGAAAATCTTCTCTCTCTCAATTCATATGAGGACATCATTTTGGGTAGAAAGTTTTTCCTCAAAACTTTGAATATTTTGCTTTATCTACTTCCCCAGCCTTTTGTATTGTCAACTTGAACAGTAGGGCATAAAAGCTTGGTGTGATTTGTGTGCCATGGCCAAGCATAATATTTTAGGACCTGCAAAAAAGCATGAATATTTTTCATCTTTTATTCATCTGATGTGCCTTTTAATATATTTTTTAACCTGCAAAAAACATGATGCCATATCAATTTTCCCACCAAGGCACCTGGTTCATTGTTCTTCAGTGCACTCACAAATGAGAATCAAATTCCTTGTTCATCAAGCAGACTCTCATATATTCTTTTCAACTGTGCATTATATGACTAATAAAATTATGCTTACAAAAGAGAAGGGAGGCAGACATTGTCTCCAGAGAAATGCGCTTATTAGTATGTAGCCAATTTTACTGGATGAGTATGATCTATTTTCAATTGTCATTAGTATAGGATTGTATGATCTGTGTTCTCATAGATATGGGACTTGTCACAGCATGTATCCCATCACTTCAAGTCAGGCTTCGAAAAAAGTATACTGTGTTACCTTGGTAGGTGGAAACTGCTACCGTGAAGGAGATTGTCTTAACTGTGGAATTGAAAACCAATCTCTCGGGTTTTACAGTTACTTTAATGCTTGGTAGAGGATCTATTTGAGCTTTATATACTGAGTTGACATGACCAACATTTGTCACACTTCAAGAGAGTTATCGACTTTCTCGGATTTGGAATGGTAATGGAAGGTAGGTTCACATCCAGAATGGAAGGCTTAACAGTGGGACATGCTGTGGCTTGAGATAGCTGAGGTGTTGTAGCCAACAGCACAAAGATAGTTTATGTAGTCATCTGTGCCCATGTCATATATGTGGCCAGGGTCTGCTGTCTTGTTCGGGTTCACTAGTCCTCCTCCGTAATCAAATAGATCCCCGAGCTTCTGTAGCATTCCTTCAGCAGAAATGGGCTCTCCAAATGGATCAGTATGATTGAAGTTTATTTTGGCCTCTCAACTGTGTTGGTTCACATTACACCAAAAGGAAACAAATGAAAAATTTACTAAATGGTTATAAGTGCCTTTGACTTTAAGTTGGGATGAGTTTTTAAAAATGTGTTTGCTCTTTTAAAAATTGTCCATGAGTTGAAAATCTGGACTTTTACTGCTTTGTATTCTTCTTGATGATTTGTTGGCCATTTAAAATAACCTTAAGTATAACCTCCATTTCGATGTTTGTGGGTATCATCCTTGAAAACCCTCACGAGACTATAACTCGTCCACTAAGGCAACCTAGGGGTTTAAAGGCTTATTGCATATGCTAAAAGCAATCGAGATCCCTGAGAAAATGGCTTAGTTGTTTTGTTTGTTTTGAGTTGGAGCTAGATTTTGTTTATGCTTGAATTGCTAGAGACTAGCAATAAGCTAGTTGGGGGGTGTGACAATAACACAATAACACATGTTTATTGCCCTTAACATTTTATTTCAAAACAAATATAAGGGGTAATTAAAGAATATTGTGCAATCATATTTTTAATTGGTCAAATTGGTTTAATGCTATTTTATTAACTTTGATCAATGATTTTTTATTTTTGTAGGTGTGCATGTGTGTGTGTTGTGAGAAGAATCAACAAAACACATGCATGACTAGAAATGTCCCCTTGAAAAGAATGAAGAAGAAATGGAGTACAACCAACAAAGTGAAGCATCCAAGAAATTAACACATGCAAATGGGATGGAAGCAAGAAAGAATCAATTGAATTCACATGCTTGTGAGATGTCATCCACTCCAAAGATGCTCAAATTCAATGTCACTTGACTAAAAAGATGATGAAAGCCACAAGAAAATGGAAAAGAATAGAAAAGAATTCAACAATGGAATTATGGCAACCTCACCAACATAGACAAGATGAAGTGGGAATTATGGATTGTATTAAAATAGAAATGCTGGTGTTGGAATTCATCATGATGTTCCTCCCTTTTAGCCCTATAAATAGAGAAGTCTTCAAGCTTCAAAACACACACCAAGCTCGCAATCTTCTCTTGAGCTCTCTTCCTCCAATTCTTCTAGTTCTAAATTTCTGTTTTAGTTTTATTTTATGGGGAACTAACTTCCTACCTAAGGCTAGGGGGAAAGCTTTTAATATGAGTAAGTAGTTTTTATTAGTTTGATCCAAAGTTAAGCTTTAATGTGAATTTGTAGTTTTGTTCAAATGAAATTTGTAGTTTTTCTTTTTAATTAATTGATGAATGTTTGATATTCTATTTCATGGGTTCAATCATGTTTTTCCCATTGTGTAGTAAAAACATGCTTTTAAAGGAGGAGATAATTACTAAGATTAATAGAATTTCGACGAAGATTATTTTAATTTCGACGAAGATTATTTTTTGATAGTTTGTTGCTAATGGTACAAGTTATGCTTAGAATACTTCTAAAGGAAATTAAAAAGAGCTTTAATTATTTTGAACAACTACATTGGAAAATATTTTGTGGATCATATTAATATGAGTTGCATGCTTATGTTAAAAGTGGAACACCAATGCTTTAGTGTTTTAATCAATTGAATTTTCTCTACATCAAAATCTTGCTTAAATCTACTTCTTAAACACAATTGTTCTTTTTCATCCCTGTTATTTTCTTTACACCGCTCTCTGTGGATACGACACTCGGACTTCCGAGCTATACTGCTATACGACACCTTCGCTTGGGTTTTGCGACACAAACAACACTAATACCCTTGGCCATACCTGTTGTGAATTAATACTAACTCACTTCCCCTTAGGACCTTGTTGTTGATGAACTTTGTGACAAACTCAATGATGGATGAGTCTTACACACACACAGAAATTTAACCAAAATAGAAATGACACAAGTGTTTATAGAGGTTCAGCAAATTGCCTACTTCCTCTTTGGTGATCTCCTTGAGAACTTTCACTAATGAAGATAGGTTACAACTTTGGTTTACAAAGAAGGAAACCCCCTTAGAACACTACCCTCACAATCTGTTTCTCTCTCACCCTTGCTCAACACCTTGATACACTTAGAGAACTCTCTTGCTCTCCCCTTGGTATTTTCTGAACTTACTAGTTTCCAGATTCTTTTCAACTCTCTATACTTTGCACAAACTTATGCACTTAACAACTTAAAGTTCTCTTGCTTCCTCTTCCCTCTTATATAAGCCTTTGGACTCCAAGATAAGGTATCATTAAGTTCTGCACGTTCTAGCTTTAGTTATCCAACTTTAGACACCTGTTATGGCAGCTCACAAAGCAAGTGATCAATGGTTGCTAGCTGCCATCAATCTCTTGAACCAAGAGAGAATTCACTCATTGAAGTAAGTTATCAATTTGCCAAAGTGTTCTCCCTAGCTTTCCACCTGCTTGCCACCTCTTATTATCTCAGAAGTGATCAGAAATATCCTTGCAAGTCGATAGAAAGTGGTAGCACACCAAGGAAGACTTGAAAATGCGTAGAAAACTGAAACAGCATCGTCGGGGCGACCGGTCGCGGATACCCTGATGACACCTTGCGGATACCTAACGACCGGTCTCGGATACCTTGCGACCGGTCGCTTTGGCACAGAGTCGATTTTTGCTCCAGACTTCAAATCTGCCGAAACCGACCGGTCGCCCATAACCTGTGATCGGTCGCTGTTCTGAATTTTTGTATCTTTTAATTGAGCCATTTTTTCTCAACAATACCATGGAATGAGCCTATGGAAATTGCGTCGCACTTATCAACTTCTGCAAACTTAGGAAGGTAGTTTCCCAATAGACAGTGACAACACATCATAAATAGCCTCATCAAAAGCTTTCAGCAGATCAGCTGCAGCACCCACTGTAATTGCTGCATACCAACATGGCTTGTACACGGCCAAATGAGCCTGGGGTGCACCACCTCTAACTACTCCTAGGCCGAGGCCTTTGTAACTTACATTGGCAACAAAGGAACCAACAGCGGTTGTGGCAGTGTGTGTGCCATGTCCGGGTCCCA